GCCGAGGCCTTAGGCCTGGGCAGGGGACCCCCAGCTCCCCGTGGTTGCAGGCTCCGCCCCTGCCTAGTCCTAACGCCTCTGGCCAAGGCGTTAGGCCTGGGCAGGGGACCCCCAGCTGCCCAGGATCGCTGACTCCGCCCCTGCTCCCCGAGATGGCTGGTTCCGCCCCTGCCCAAGCCTAACGCCTCTGACCGAGGCGTTAGGCCTGGGCCGGGGACCCCCAGCTCCAGGCGATTGCAGGCTCCGCCCCTGCCCCCCGCGATCTCCCACTCTGCCCCTGCCCAGGCCTAACGTCTTTGGCCAAGGCTTTAGGCCTGGGCAAGGGATCCCTAGCTCCCCGGACTGCCGGCTCCGTCCCTGCCTAGCTCCCATTGCTGGCTCCACCCCTGCTTCCCGCTATCACTGGCCGGGCGGCAAAGGCGCCTGGTTCTCTGATCACAGCTGGGGGGCAGGGCAAAGGCGGCCCGCAGGGCTCTTAGCTCCCCCCTGGGTTTCCAATCACCGTCAGTGGCAGGGGGCTTCTTCCGTCCTTTCCCTTTCGCCTCCCAGCATTGTGCCTACATATGCAAATTAGCCACCATCTTTGTTGGTGGTTAACCGCCATCTTGGCTGGCAGTTAATTTGCATATCGCCCTGATTAGCCAATGGGAAGGGTAGCGGTCGTATGCTAATTACCATGTTTCTCTTTTATTAGATAGGATGACATTTTTTGTGGCCATGAATTCTACTGATATGTTCTATCTATTCTCAAAGTGTAGTTATGTAGTAAGTTTAAAAAATTCATTTATATTAAAACTTAAAAGCAAGATTTATAAAATATTTAAATCTGAATCTTCAGTAAATCAGATTATTTATAATACTTACTGCTTCAGCTTCTGCTCTTGTCTTGAATGTAATTACTGCATGAAGTGAAGAGTCATCAATCTGACAATCTTCAATTTCACCATATTGCTTTAAATTAAAAACAAGTATTTCCTCCAAATAAATATTTTGAAATATCCAAAATCCTAGTGGTTTTGTAAAATGTTAAAATATCAAAATATAACCCAAAATACATAACAATTCATGGTTATTAACAGAAAAAATGGTGAATAATTCATTTTGGTACTTAATATTGTAAGATAGAGGGTGGTCCTATCTTCCAAATAACAATTTATAATTTTACACTTTCTAAAATTAAGGAAACTTATACTTCATTGAACTATTCTTTAAATAAAGGAAACAATGACCAAAATTGAGCTTCCTTATTGTCTTTCCTTTTATACTCATTATTTTCATTCCAGAATATGCTAAATTCTTTCTGAAGCAGAATATTTAATCCTCAGAATATTCTTAGTGTTTTTTGGGTGTTTTTTTTAGTATCATGCCCAATTTAAAGATGGGGGTGAAAAAGATTAAGAGAATTTAAGTAATCCCCCCACCAAGTAATTAAGTAAATTACCAGGATAAGAGTCCATATCTTTTGATCCTGCTTTCACACTTACTACAGACTCCTATAGACCACACACACTACCTTTTCAGACATTTGAAAGCTAAACATATGAAATTATGCTTGTTTCGTATGTTGGATTTTTTACAAGTGAAGGAAGACTTTCCTACAAACAGCAACTTTTATCATATAAAATTCTAGTCCACGGCCCAGCCGGTGTTGCTCAGTGATTAAAGTGTTGGCCCACGCACTGAAGGTCGGGGGTTTAACTCATGGTCAAGGGCACATACCTGGGTTACAGGTTTGATCCCCAGCCCCAACCGGGGCATGTGCAGGAGGCAACCGATTGGTATGTCTCCCACTCACACATTGATGTTTCTGTCTCCCTCTCTCTCTCTTTCTCTCTCCCACCTTACTCTATCTCCCTTCTACTCTCTCTAAAAATCAATGGAAAAAATATCCTTAGGTAAGGATTTTAAAAAAAATTCTAGTCCTTTATATATCATTACTAATACCTTCCTTCTTTCTTACACAAAAATAAAATTATAAACACGATTTCATTAAATGCACATGCACCTATACAGAAAAATTCTGTAAAGAGAATGAACTTTAGAATCAGTCAGATCCAAGATCTGTCAGTTAAAAGCTGTGTAAATTTGAGTAAGTTACTTAATCTATTCATGCTTCATTTTCCTCATCTCTAAAATGAGGCACAATAAAGGTACCTATCTCTTAGAGCTGTCAAGATAATTCAAAACATAGTGAGTTATATAAGGCACTCAGAATAACACTTCCCCAAAAAAGAAGTGCTTATAAGTTTTAAGCTATAATTTTTATCCACTGGGACCAGTAGCAGTTTCCTTTCTAGGTTGGCTAGACCTAGAATACAATATTAACACATAAAATTCCATCTTCATTTTAAAAATCTGGATGACTCATGCAACATGTTAAATTTTTCCTTAAAAGTATCAAATAAAAGTAAACTACAGGATTTTCCTCTCTAAAGCAATAGTTTAAATCACTCATTTCACAATACCTCAAGGCTCACTAAGTGTAAGAATTGCAACATATCTTCCAGATAATTAAACAAACAAAAAACCCCTACAGCTTATTTTTTAAATAATTAATAAGACTTATAAAGTAATCAAACTCTTTGGTCAAATTAATGGGTTTAAATTACTCATGTCATTTTCATAATTTCCCCTTTAATATATCTATTATCCCCAACAATGATTATATTTGCTTTGTTGCTCAGTAAGAAAGTACCGCAAAATGAGGAAGAAGATCTTCTCTATCACTCTCTGTAAATGCAGAAATCTCCAATGCCCTTGGACGGTGATCTACCACAGCATGACCAGGTACACCTCGACCTCGACCTCGACCTCGGCCCCGACTCCTGCCTCTGCCATGAGCTGCACCTCGACCTCTTGAATGAATTCCTCTGCCCCGACCAGATGAAAGAATCCCTCGTTTGGCAGCCTAGAGGAAATTAGACACAAGTTAAAGACCACAATAACTAACACAAGCCAAGTGTTATACTTTGTCAGGTGAGTCAAACTTTTATACAATTTGACATCATATTCAAATAATGCCCTAAGAAAAAATCTCAAAATTTTAAGTTGAGATTTTAGTTTTTAAAGTGAAAGCAAATTTATGTAGCTAATAAATTTAGAAAACAAAATAACATTAATTTAAGCAATGTTTTGAAATTATCAAATATGCTTTTTTCTACTAAGTTCTTACTCTCCAAGACATCACAAAAAGGCTAGTAATTCTTGATTTCCAAATAATACAGTGTAAAGTATTAATTTAGAAGTCAGTTTAATACATAGATATAAAATACCTACATATACAATAAATGTATTTTCTCATTTGTGACTTTCAAATACAGTGTTTCTATTTGTTTCCCTGTTCACTTCAGTAGGTAGTTATCTCAAATTCATCACTTTAATCACTTACAGTAACATTATACAACCAATGTTGCATAGTAACTTATATTTCACCACATCAGTCTATATGAAGAGCACACCATTCTTTCATTCCACAAATATTTAATGAATACTTCCTATGTACAAGTCCTTACCCTCATGAAACTCAAATCATAGAGGGGTAAAAAGATATTAAGCAACTAAGTTTATATTATATATTAATGAAGTGACTAAAAAAAAAAGAACAGAAAGTTTCATGAGTATCTCCCCTCCCCCAGTTTCATTCTCTACTTTATCCCCTGCATGTATATTAGTAGCTGGCAGATTGTAGATACTTAATATTTGTTCAATGAATCAAAGAAAGAACAAAGAACAAACAAGACACGAGTAAGGGGTGGGAGTTATAGCTTGAACAAAGGAACCAAAGCTGAAAGGAACATAGTAATTCAAAGAACAAATAAAATCTAGTGCAGCTGGACCACATGAGATGGAGATGAGGCTGGGGAACTAGGCAGAGCCAAATCATGAATAACTTTAAAGGACCACATTAGGGATTTTGAATTTTATCCCAAGAGCCATGAAAATCAATTAAAATATTTAAAGCAGAGTCCTGGCAGGTGTGGCTTAGTTGGTTGAGCATCATCCTATGCACCAAGAGGTTGCTGGTTCAATTCCCAGTTGGGGCAAATGCCCAGGCTGGGGGCTTGATCCCCGGTAGGGAGCATGCAGAAGGCAGCCGATCAATGTCTCTCTCTCTCTTTCTCTATGCTTCTCTCTCTCTCTCTCTCTCTCTCTCTCTCTCTCTCTCTCTCTCTCTTTCTCTCCCTTCCTTCCTCCCTCTCCACCCTCCCCTCTGTCTAAATATCAATGAAAACATGTTGTTTTTACAACACAAGAATTATCTTTAAAAATATGTATTTAAAGCAGAGTAGTAGAGTGATGTAATCAAATCAGGGTGTAAAATGTTATTCTGGCTAGAGTCTTAAGAACAGAGGAGAAGGAAGAAGAGAACAAGCCTGGATACCAGTCAGTAGTCTACTACAGTAATCCCAGCTACTGAAGACAGCTGGTGTACAGTGGTGGCAATGGAGATAAAGAAGCAAACAGATTTAAAACATATTTGGAAGTAACATATAAGACATGGTAATTAATTGGATATGAATACTGAAGGAAAGGAAGGAGTCAATGAAGACATATTTTTGGTTTGGGTAATTGTGCAGATGGGAGTTTAGGGGCAAAATAAGCACAATTTTGAACTTGTTGAGTCTGAGGATGTAAAGCATTCAAATGGAAATGTCAAGAACGGACCATTGCCAAATCTCTGCAATTATAAATATTTCAGTTTTTCACCTTAAGACAGTAAATCTTAACATTAGCTAAAATAATCCAAAATCCAAATAATCTTCAAAGATCAAGGATTAATGTTAATAATAGAGCAGCATATACAAAAGTGTATTCTGAAGAACAAAGTGCTCCATGAAAAAGTGAGTCCTTGGACAAATAAGTTAAAGCAATACTGAATATTTAATGTCTTTTTGGAGATTTACAAATTAAAATATCCTCTAAAAAACCCAATAGCTAAAAATCATGTTTAATATAACCTTTTCCAAATTTATTTGGCCTTGGAGTTTTTTTCACTAATATCTTTTAACAAAAAATGGAATTGATGCAGTGAATGACCACACTCTCGGAAACACTGAATTACCGCATATACTAACTGCAAACTAGTTTAGCCATTATATGAAACAAAACAGCCCTAACTGGTTTGGCTCAGTGGATAGAGCGTTGGCCTGCGGACTGAAGGGTCCCAGGTTCAATTCCAGTCAAGGGCATGTACCTTGGTTGCGGGCACATCCCCAGTAGGGGGTGTGCAGGAGGCAGCTGATCGATGTTTCTCTCTATCCCTCTCCCTTCCTCTCTGTAAAAAAATCAATAAAATACATTTTTAAAAAAACACAGAAAATATTATTCAGTGTTTAGCTATGTCAGCATATGAACTAAAACATAGACTAATAAAAATACTGATACAAATATCACATGATCTCACTCATTTGAAATCTAATGAAGAAAATAAACTAATGAAAAAAATAGAGAGACACAGAAGCATCGAACAGACTGTCAAATCTCAGAGGAAAGGCAGGGGTGGGTAGGAAGAGATTAACCAAAGAATTTGTATGCATATACATGCATAACCCATGGACACAAACAATAGTGGTGAGGGCCTGGGCAGCGGGGTGGCCTAGAAGGGATCAGCAGGGGAAGAAAGGGAACATATGTAATACTTTCAACAATAAAGAGTTTTTAAAAATACTGATAATATACTGGCTGGTATGGCTCAGTGGTTGAGCATCAACCCATGAACCAGGAGGTAGAGGTTCAATGAGGTCGAGGTTCAATGCCCAGTCAGGGCACATGCCTGGGTTTTGGGCTTGATCCCCAGTAGGGGGTGTGCAAGAGGCACATCTCTCATCATTGATGTTTCTAGCTCTCCCTCTCCCTTCCTCTCTCTGAAATCAATAAAAACATACCTAGAAAAATACTGATACTACTACTGTTTATACTAAAATTATGAGCAAAACTTTTGAAATGATAATTTGGTTTTTATCCCACCAACACAGGCATCAAATCTCTAGAATGGAGAAAACACAATTTCTATATTAACATAAAGAAATCTATCTTCTCTAAAACCTGTTACTTTGGGCAGGACAGACAGGTGACCATATCAAGTTTCCAGAGAATGAAAAGTGTGCAAGTTTAGGACACCATCTTATGGCTTCCTATGACTGTTAGATAAGACAGCACCTTAAGACAAGCACAGTGGCTGCTAAATATTAAGTCTTTGATACCTGGATGCCAGTACTCAACACAGATTTGTACTGTGTCAGAAAAAGATGATCAAGTTGCTAACAAATTTGGAAAAAAGTATTATTCTCAGATTAAGCAAAAGTAATGATCAAAAACATAAAATTAAATTGTGACATTAAACAATAAATATAGACAAGTACCAATTAATGACATTAACATCTTCATACTTAAAATGCAATTCTGATTTTTAAACATCATTTTGTTAAATGTTAAAAATTCTCATACACGGAAATCAATTTCACTTTATTTTTCTTATATAATCATGACTATTAAGAAAGCAGTTTATTTTCTCTTTTATAAACATCCACAGCACCACCTATAGGCAAAACTTAAGCATGTTCTTTGATATAGTTCTAACACTAGAAGTCTAATCTGTAGAACTTAATATTATAAACCTATTTGTGCATAGGATATCTCTGAAAGAATGCCTGAAAACCAAAAATAGAATTCTCATACACGGAAATCAATTTCACTTTATTTTTCTTATATAATCATGACTATTAAGAAAGCAGTTTATTTTCTCTTTTATAAACATCCACAGCACCACCTATAGGCAAAACTTAAGCATGTTCTTTGATATAGTTCTAACAGAGACTGCCCACAATTGTTGACTAGAATGAGGGAATTGTGTTTTCAAATTAACCACCATAACTACATTCGCTCCTTTTTAGCACACTGTGTAGCTATGATGAAACATACTTCCAGCTGTAATTCTGTATACTTTCTCCTAAGTTCAGTGACTTCTTCTCCAGCTTGCATCTTCTTATATAAATCCAGCTCTGTGTCAAGTAATTCTTTCTGCATCTAGAAAACAGTAATTAATATTTTTGGTGACAATTAATATCCTGCATTTAAACAAAACATTTTACAAAAAACTTTTACACATTCCCATTTAATCTGTACATTTCTTTTCTATCGTCAGTCCTACCATCCTAGTCCAAGCCATCAATCACCTCTAGTCTACAATACCGCTAGCTGCCTAACTTGTTCCTAATCCCACTGATTTCCCTATAATTCACTTTCTATAAAAAAAACCCTGGAATTTTAATGGACTGATATTAAGTAATTTTCAGGAAATAACTGAAAGAAAAGCAAAATACCACGGCATTAACAAGCAATATATAGTATGCTTTTATGTAGAAAAGAATCCATGCACACACACACCAAGGAGGGAAGAGTAGGGAATAGTGTCAGGAATCAAAGGGGAAAGGTCTTCTATATATACCTTTTCATAGTTTAACTTTTGAGTCATGTTAATGTTTCACATATTCAAAAAATAAAATCAGCAAGAATGAGGGAGATCCAAAACTGAATAATACATACAGAAATACACCCAACTTTTTCAAATTAATAATATAACCACGCAAAAAGAAAAAGTAATCCTACGCCACAGTTCTGATTCAATACCTTTAGGGAATATATTGTGAGGTTATAAAGAATGAAAATAAATTCTAAATTTTATAGTTAGTTGTTGGAAGTGGTATTGTTGTAACAATTATGAGACTATTTGGAATGTACTACAGGACTGAGCAAATAAATGAGTGCTGTGTTGACATTAGTGGAAACCAAGTTATCATATGGGAACAGGGAGATAAAATAAGGAAATGAAGAAAGGAAGAACCCCATTATGTTGGATTAGAATTAGAAATTTCAATAGGAACTAATGATTTTATACATGTACACACACACCAAGTATAAATATTGTATATGACACTGGTTTGTTTTTTTCTTAAGCACTTATTATCAACTGAAATTAACTTGCTCACTTATTTGTTATCTAATAAATTTTCCCCTGGTTCAATGAATACATTCTGTAAAGTGTGGTCAGAATGTTACTTCTCTGTTCGTTAATGTTTTATACCACGAACACCTTATAAAATAAAGCTCAAAATCCTCAGTCAAGCATTTAAGTAACTATTATCATTTTGTCTTCAAGTTACCTTTTCGGGATTATCCATAACTATTTTCCTAATTACTAACTTTCCCACTGTAATCCACAGGATTCAAAAGATTAGTAGAGTTTACTTGTTTGTGTTTATTTACTTATTAATTAATGAAGGAAGAGAAGAAATTGTAGCATACAATGGTCAGATTTTGAGCAAAGGATATAATCTAAAAGGAAAAGAACTTTAAACAATGTAGTGTTTTTAATGTGTTTTTTTTTAAAGAAGTAATATGAAAAACACTAATAAAAATATGAAACACTAATAAAAATACCTGAGTCTTGGTTTTTATACTTTTTGGAAGACAGCGTCCAGGAGAAGTAGCTTTGACCTCATCTTTCAACTTGGTAATATTTTTTGTCAAAACCTCTAAAGTTTTCATTATTTCTGCTTTATCTTCAGACTTCATTGCTTTGTTTTTCTCCAGTTTTGAAATTAACATCTGCCAGATTTTTTAAGAGAAAAATAGAAGATACTTATTCCTACTATTATTAATAAAACAAACATAACAAACTAAGTATAAAAATAAGTATCTACTACTTTTAGTTTGTATATTCATAACAAGGATTATAACCACTAAAATATCAGATTGGTGATGCTAACTATCTCAATTCAAGCCTTAATCTTGGTTTACTTTGTAAAGAACTATAGTATTACTCTTTGGGTCTGTCTCTTAGAACACAAGAAATTCAATTCAATCCCTGAAAAGCTGTCAATTTGAAGTAGTATTAACAATTTTACTTTCTAATCATTTGTTGATATTACTGCCTCTAAGTACTCCTGATCCAAATGGAATCTGTAACCCAGAATGAATCACAGGAGAAATTCTGCTTTCCCTTCATATAATGAGGTTTAGGAAATGAAAAGTTTAATTACTTTCTTTGTCATAAGGAAACTACCTGGCTAGCCTAGGAATGATATCCTCACCATGGACAGGGAACAAGAAGAGAAACAGGGTATTATGGCATATAAGATACCACACATTATAGGTTCTCTGAGTCAAGATGGTTTCAGTTTTTGGTATAAAGCACTATGATTTTTCTTTATCAAGCATATCCAAATTTAAATTATAAAAGACATACATTTTAGACTAAAATGTATACTTTTTGTATTTTCAGTATTTGGAAATGTCATAACCTTTACTACCAGATATGATTTAAGAACTTACACTAAATTAATGTCATAAACAAGAGACATAAAGAAATACTGTAAGCTACATAAGTAATTTTTAATTTTCTAGCAGTCACTTTAAAAAGATAAGAGATATAGTAAAACTAATTTAATAATATATTCCATTTAACAAAAAGTATTCAAAATGTTACATTTCAACAAAAATTGAGAGGTTTTTGCTTTTTTTCTTCATACTACATCTTTGAAATCTGGTGAAGTATTTTTTACACTGACAGCACATCTCAACTTGGACTAGACACATTTTAAGTAAATAATAGTCAGATATGGCAATTAAATAAAGGTCCATCTCAATATTAAGAAAAAGGTTCCATTTCACTATCTGTTGAATAAAGGACTACACAGCAATATACTTGGATAAATACTCCTTATTTTCATTTCAAATTTGAAAACCATAGTTCCATTTAAACTACTCCAATTCCCAGTCCACCATTCAATGTATGCTCTTCATGTCCAATATACTATCAATTGATAATATACTTTATCATTGATAATATCTTAGTTTTACCATATCAGTTACAATAAATGTTTCTCAGTAATATCTATATAGTGTAAGATTAAGTTCACTCAAAGCTGTAACATTTACAAAAATATATTTTGCCAAATCTAATTGTTAATATTTTACCTTCTGTGTTTCAATGTGCTTTTCTAAAATTTCTTGTTTTCTTTTCCTTACATCCTGCTGAAGTTTCAGTGCCTCCTAGGGGAAGGGACCAAAAATATCATTAGAATATTGACCGTTTATTATTCCAATAAACAAAATGATTTAAGAGGACAGAAATGGTTATAACTACAGAAGCTTGGCAACAAAAATTAAATGCAAACGTTTCCTATGTAACACTGAAATATGTATGCAAGTTTTAAAAGATCAGGAGAATCTTTCATTCCAAGAAAAATATTAATAGTTACTGCTACACTATGGAAAATAAAAGTTCAGAGGCAGCCAACATACTCCTTTTAAATTTCATTTTGTTATGAGCACCGAAAAAACAGATACATGCAGAAGAGCTTTTCTACATGCAAATTTTGTACAATAATAGTTGTACTTACCTGTTTTTTTTTCTGTGCTTCATTATTATCAACTGCAGAGGGGGAAACAAGTAAGGTTTTTTGTGCAGCCTTCAAAGCAGCTGGATTATACACTGTTTTTGTTAGGCCAGTAGATGTAGATAACACCTACCAATAAAAATTCAATTTTGTAAAAAAAAATCTATCAGGCATTCATGATTTTCTGAGTCCTGTTTTCTTATGAAATAACATTAAAGCACTTCTGTTAAAATTTAGTACAGTGAACTAAATGTATTGATTTGAAAAGAAGGGTATGAAAAATGAATAAACTATGAAATAAAAAAATTTAATTAATATATTTATAGGAAAAAAGTAAAAACAAACATAAAAACTTCAAGAAAAAACAGTCATTACTATATCACTGAGAAAATATTAGTTGCTGAATACCTGTGCTAGTATTCCTACTAACTAAAACAAAATCTGTACTTAAGAGCATGGCACAGGAAAAAAACTGGATGTTGTTCCTCAAACAATTTGCAATTGTTTGTCTCTTAAGATCATTTGCAATTTACAGTTTGGAAATTAACTTTGTTGCTTTCTTTCTCCATCCTTTTGCTAGCATTGCTCCTTCTGCTTCAAGTGACCTTTACCTTTAAACCCAGCTCAAGTTCAACACAACCAGCCAAGACTTCCACAAAGTCCTAATCATTTTTTTTTTTACCCAGGTCCTTCTATGAAATTTTATTCCTACAGCTATTAAATTATTTAGTAAAAATGATCTGATGATTTATTGTTTCTCTCCCTGTTTACACTGTAAGGTCCTTGAAACAAAAAGCGTGCCTTTCTCCTCTTTGCTCTTTCTCCAAATACCCAATCCTTGCTACTAATCCTATATAATAAAAGGCAAATATGCAAATTGTCCCCTCAACCAGGGGTTCAACCGGGAGTTCAACCAGGGGGCAGGGCTGGCCGGTGAAATGCCTGCGGCCCCTCCCTCTGGCTGGCCCAATTGGGGGGTCGGCTGAACCCCACCCATGCACAAATTCATGCATCGGGCCTCTAGTTAATTTTAAGACCCTGGGTAAGTTCAAGTACTTTTCAGGCTTCAGTTTGTTTTTCTATAAAATGAGGAAGTTCATCTTGATGATATCTAATGTCCTTAACCAACCCAGGAGAGTAGAGATTTTTTGGCTTGCTTCATTGCTATATCTTCAGTGCCAAGAACAGTTCCAGCACACATTCTAAATATTCAATAAACACTTTGCACTAAATTAAACTGAAATGATGATAAATCCAAGTGGACAACCTTTTCTACACATGGTCAAGTTAAGAGAAGTGTATGGGCTACTTTATCCTTCAAAAGCAAAAAGTTGCAAGTTCCATGGGGTGGTTCGTTACTGGGTCTTGGAAAGGAGTCTAGGAATTCCTTCAGAGAAATCTGTGACTACTATATAAAAACAAAACATTAAACCGTATCTATGAAGAATGTAACTTTCCAGAGGAAAAAACATAGCTTCCCAAGTCTTAAAGGAGTTCATGATCTAAAAAGACATTAAGAGGAGAGTATCAATGAGAAAAAAAACCTTGCTCTCTAGCTACTAAAATGTAAATATCTGGATACCAGAGAAGTAGCAATCTGGACACTGCATTATAATCTTTTATCATGGAATAGATTAGGGAACATCACAAAGTTTAGGTAACTCATCACTATGCCTATTATTCAAGAATGCTAGCTTCTAAATAAAATAAAATAAAACCCCAGAATGCTATAACTTATAAAATACATACAAAGAATTTACAAGAGTTTTAAGGAGATAATGTGAACAGCCTAAATCTTTTAAAAAAACTAACCAGGATGGTATACGCAGATGCCTTTATTCTTCATAAATCTCCCAAGGTAAGCAGAAGCACTCAAACATCATCTGACTGATCACTCTACTCAAATAATACCTATTTAATAGCTATTGCAATATCTTAATATTTAGCTATATGAATCAGGTTTTAAGTTTCCTCTCTATTAGTCCTCTCACAAAAATGGAAACTTAGAAGAAGAATCACTAAAGGGTTTACTCAATGTTATTTACAAGAAAGGGATAAAAATTTTACATTTGTGTATTTATTTGCTTTAAAAATGACAGAAGATACTGGATGGATACTAGTATTGAGATTTTCCCTGCCTTCAATAAAAAAATATTTTTTTTTAGTAATATTTGATGATGAACAATCTTCTATTTTTCCTAAGACTTCTCTGAATCACTGACCTCTAAGGATTCTGCAGCAAAAATCACTATGGACTAGGGAGAGAGAACAAAACTGAAATGCTATTCTTTAAACAGGTTCACTGAAGTTGACTGAAAGTTATATTTTAGAAATAACTGCTTTCCAGAAAACATTCTTTACAAGTAATTTCCTCCATAAATAGCCCACTGCCATTAGTGATTTTCATAAATTAAATTAGTAGTAATTATATTAATAAATTATACTATCATTTCCAAGAATGTCCCCCTTTTAGCCTAAAGCTATATAAAACATGCTAAAAAAAATGAAAACAGTAGCAAAAAAATAATAGAAAGATTTTGTAAAAGCTATAATTAGTACACTTCAAATTTGTACATGTCCAAATGTCGACATAAACAGATCCTAAACATCATCAGCTTTGTATTCATCCCCAGAACTGCTAAGAATAAAAGACTTATATTGTTCATTTATTCCTCAGCTACTTATCAAGAAAAATAAATCTAATCAAAGTAAATATTTACATATTGCTAAATTTAGTAGCATAGACTAAGGGATATAAATTTAGAGAAAGGGGGGGATATCATATGAAAAAATGTAGAGGTTTCATAGAAGAGGTTAGTGATTTTTTCAATCTTTAAAAGAATGACTAGAATTCAGTTAGGCAGAGGGAAATGCACTCCAGAAAAATCACCACCAAAAAATGAAAACGAGGCAGGCAATAGCAGAAAAAGACTCCTTAGAAAAGAAAGGTGTAATGCAGACGTACTAACAGAACCAGAATAATTGAGGTATGATAACCTGTGAACCAAGCTAAGTCATTTAGCTGAGGAAATGAAGGTTTCTTTAAGCAACTAACATTAAAATAAGTCTGAAAGTAGGATGGTGGCAGAATACACTAGATGAAGGTATGGCAGCTCTGAACTGCATCCATAGGCCAGGGGCCTGAAGGTGATAGAGAAAGAGAATTGGAATGTAAACACAAGCAATGACTCTAAAGCAGGGGTGGGCAAACTTTTTGACTCGAGGGCCACAATGGGTTCTTAAACTGGACCGGAGGGCCGGAACAAAAGCATGGATGGAGTGTTTGTGTGAACTAATATAAATTCAAAGTAAACATCATTACATAAAAGGGTACGGTCTTTTTTTTTTTTAGTTTTATTCATTTCAAACAGGCCGGATCCGGCCCGTGGGCCGTAGTTTGCCCACGGCTGCTCTAAAGGCTTTTAGACTATACAAATTGGAAATTGGTGGTATAACTTCCAGAGGTAAGGCTAGGAGAAATTAATTTATGTGGGAAATAATGAATCATGATAGGCTTATTATGCCTAGAGTAATGCTGAGGTGTCCAAGAGGGAAATCTGATTTAGCGAATGAAATTCATATTCAAATATCTAGAACTGCCGAAGTTTTAGAGGAAATAAGGAAAACAATATACTGAAGAAGCAGTACAGAAAGCAGGTCAGCTATCTCATGGGGTGTTCATGAAATCAATTACCCATGTAACCTTCATAATGGACTAAAATAGGAGATCCAGATTCAAGTAACTCAAGTGTATAGATCAACCAAAACACTATTTGGGCCTTATCTTCCTTTAAGGTGAGGGTATAGAAATGGGAAAAATTATCTAATCCTAATATACTGTGTTTCCATATACCTCAAATAAGACTAAAGATCAGGACATTCACTTATACCTAACCAGAAAGAAAAAAAAAAAAAGCCACATCTACACAAAACTAGAAGATAGGTCCATAAATTATCTTAATTTAATCAGCATTTGTCTCTTTATTTAAAAAAAAAAAAGACTAGATGTATTGTCAGGCTATATACAATAGTTATTAATTATAAATAAAAATACTACATTTACATCATCTTTTCTAGTTTACAAAATATTTTTAAATAACTTTTACTTAATCCCTCAAAAACTTTATGAGCAATATAAATATTACCATCACCATTTTATGATGAAGAAAAAGTTTCATAAAGATTAACAGCACTGCCCAATATCATGCAGTTAGTAAATAGAGAGTCAAAGCTCAAACTCAAGTACAATTCCTAGTTCATGGCCCTTTCTTTTAGGCTGCCAGAGTTTTCAAAATAAAATGTAAAAAATATTTCTAAAGAAAATATAGTAAATACAAAGAAAAAGAATGAATGAAGCACATGGAAACTATAGTGAGCAGCAAGTATTAAAATGCTGATGCAAAAAGTAAAAAAAGGGAAGCAAATATTTTTCTTTTCAGCAAATGGAAAGCAAAATGGTAGGGATAAGAGATAAAGATACTATTAAGAAGCAAAAGTTTGAAACTATGAAAAAATTAAAAAATTAAGATGCCATCTGAAAACATTTATGAAGCCAAGACAAACACATCATGCTTCTTCTTACCTTTTCAGTTGCTGAAACAGATGGCTTTGATACAAAACCCAACCTGTCCTTCACAGATAATTTAGTTACATTCTAAAAAAATTAAAACGGACATATTCAGTGTTTCCCTAAACATATATGTCTGAAGGGATTATGAACATTCTGATTCTACTAACATATACTGACTTTGTAGGTATACTGATGTTAATCACAAAACCTGGATCTTTTTTCAAAGAGAGACAGAAAGAAAATGTGTATGGAAAAACGAACAGTATGTAATATTAATCATGAAAAACTATGATGTAAAATAAGATGTCTAAGCCAGGTGGTTGCTAAAGTCCCCTCCATTGATACAGAACCATGAATTCTTAGAATCCTATGTTGACCAATAGAAAGTTTGAACATTGTAAATATTAGGTTTGAGTAAATAAAGGATGTGCCTGCTTCTTGAGCTTAAAAATAAAAGTCATTCTTTCCTAAAGTATGTTTTATTTTATAGCCAAATACATTGCATTTGCTGATGATTTGGAATAATAGGATTAGGTGGGGGTTTTTAAGTAAATAATAATTTACCAATTTACATTCTGCACGTTTATTTTAATAGAATCTCAATCTATTACTTTTTAAATAGAATCTCAATATATTATTTTTCAGGAAGACTACTGGAATAAGGTGTCATCCATTAGCTAAGTAGGATAGTATATCATAACTTTATTTTATACAAATGCTGAAACATCTGGAGACAAAGAAAACCTAAGTTTTAGAGATTGAAGGTATAGAAATAAGAAATTGCCACTCAAGTATGGAAGGGAGTGGGAAGGGAATGACATATGGAAAAGAAAATCCAAGAGTCAGGAATAAGTGATGCAAAGTTCTGAGAGCGTAATAAGTAACTTGAATCAGTATATTAAGCATGTTACAACTGGATGGTTTAAGCCTTCCTGTCCCAATAGCTTTCAGTTCGGACTACTGCATAATTATTTCTGAAATAGAATTCTAGTTAAGTCAAAGATGATGGGAAAAAATAAGATTTAGTATACTGAACTTCACTTTCCAGGCAGATTTGCTGAAAAATACCTCCTCCACAAAGTGAAAGAGAGTTCTTTCTTATAAATAGGTATTAACTAGAGAGAAGAATTTAATATTCAAATAGTATAGAAAAAGTAGAATGTGAAAATGTTATAATAGTAACAAAAATATGTATAAACTATCCTATTTCTGTATAAAATACATACAATTAACTATAATTCAAATCACCAAGGGAAACTAATTTACTCAGAACCTACTATGTGACAGACACAATAATAAGACTTTTCATTCACCTGAGGAAGGTCTGAACTGGCACTCTGGGCTTCTGCTGGTTCAATAGTACTTGTAGGTACTGGACCCAACCGCTCTTTGACAGACTGCTTCACAACAGGCAAAATGGGCTGCTGGACTAAAGGCTGCATTACCTCAGAATAAGAAAAAAATGTTAAACATTCACAAGCATCGAAAATAACCTTTGTTATTTTGTTACTAAATTGCCCATGCAGAGAAAGTCTTAAAAGTGCAGCTTGTAATCAAAACCTAGCCACCTTCCAAATTTCTTCACGTTTTCCTTTGCATGTAAGAACTTATTTATAGAGAAAAAAATTAAAATCTACACTTCACTACCTTCTTTCTTTCTTTTATTTTAATGAACAGCAGAAAGTTAAAGAAACAAACTGCTGTAAGACACCTCTACGAGCAATTAATCTAACATTACATATTGACTGATTCACTGATTGAAAGTGAGAGGGAGAAAAGGAGAAAGGGAGGAAGGGAAAGAAGCGAAGAAGGAAGAGGATTTCCAAAATGAACCCATAGTCTGACTATGTGGAATATGTAAAGCTATCATGTACTGAGTGTCTCTGATCTACCTGGGAATATTTTCTATATGCTTTACACATACCTATAATTATCTAATAAACTAGGGCTTAACTTCACAATAAAATGAAAGAAGAGAGATTAAATAACTTCCTCAAGTCTATATATTTAAAAGTGGTTGAGGCAGGATCTAAACTCAAAAGTCTACCTAACTGCAATGCCTCTGCTTTCTAAGCGTATTCTATGAGCATTTAATTTCACATAAATTTCTCTTACCTTTGGAGAAGTAGTTTGTAATTGCTGGGTGCCTCCTTCTCTGTGCCAATAAACCTTAATAAAGCGATTGTTTAGCACTGCTTCTGTACTTGATATTGCTTTCTTTGCTTCTTCATATGTTGCAAATTGGATAAGGGCACCTTCAGGATCACCATTATAGGCAACCTAAGGTGTCAAATATTAAGAACAGTGAATTTCCAAATGAATATGTTGTTTCATATAGTAAAATTCCTCAACAAATAAAATATTGGTCCTCCTATGTGAGATTCTATCTTTATACTTCCTTAAATATAGACTATTACCATAACCTACTTTCACTCCAGAAGAGTGCAGGAGGCAACCAATCGATGTGTCTCTCTCAAATCGATGTTTCTCTCTCTCTGTCTTTCCCCCTCTCTTCCACTCTCTCTAGAAATCAATGGAAAAATATCCTCAGGTGAGGATTGACAAAACAAACAAAAGAGTGCAAGAAAATTTAAGAAATAAATAAATTTTACACATAAGTAAACTGAATTCAAAGAGTATATGATTCTGCAGACTCATATTAGTAAGTAGCAGATACAAGGCTTTTCACTTCAAATTTTTTGTTCTTTTGGTTTTGAAAATTCTCTTAAATTTAATATTACCAGTGTAGTTAATTGTGTGAGAAAAAATATTCCAGAAACTTTTTTGTCTAAATCTAAATGTGACAGATCAATTAAATAGCCATAAAAAGATATTCACAAATAACTACAGGGTAATGTGTATAAGATGGGTCCATAATTTTCAAATATATACATTTTTAAGTGTGTGTGTTGACTGACTGATAAGCAAATATAGATAAAGAAATACAAAACAAAAAAATCTACAATAATACATGGTAAATTGTTAACAATGATGTAACTGTATTATGGGGATATATGGGAAGAGAAATGTAAGGGACAAAAAGAGTTAACGTAGAAACATTTTTTTTTTATTCTATATAAATTTCTACTGTCCTGCCACAACCAAGCATGCGATTTTCATCTATTACTTTTACATTATTTTTAAATGGGAATAAAACAAAATTTTCCAAATTAATCAACTTAAGCTGTACTCTCTACAATTTATTATTTTTATCAGGTGATGACAAATAATTCTTATTGAAAAAACTGAAAAAAAAGAAAGCCCAATATTATTTCAACACTTTTACATATTACACAAGGAAAGCTCAGTACTAAATAACCTTACAAGTTATATCCAAAGCCAAGGTCTAAGTTAGGGTGAAGTCAAATACAAACTACACTGATATTTATCTTGAAAAATACTCAAAAAATGGTACAGGAAAAAGCAAATGTTTCAGCTAATTATGGATTACATGGTCTCTGGGCCAATGTATCCCATCACAGAGGCAGAAAAAATAATCTGACTAAAGCATCTTGTTGTAATGACTTTAAGAAACTGGGGAAATGAAAACTACAAGATTATTTAACTTTGCTATAATTTTATGATAACCTCTTCTAGGTAAAACGTATGTAATATGATCAAAACTCCTGCCTTTTCAGAGCACAAAAGTTATTAAAAATCATACATCTAAAATATAAAAAATTTCATTTCATATCCAATTTTTCAAATTTAGGTTACCAAATTTTTCATAATTCCTTATAAAATATTTTTCTTATTATATTGTTATCTCCCTAAATAATTAAGCAAAGACAACAGAATCACTTCACAGCTCTTACCTGTAAGTTAACCAAAGTTCCAAATCGACTAAAATGCTCATTAAGTTTGCTGATATTATTTAATTCTGGTGGAACTTTTCTAAGTTCAAGTTTGGTGTTTTCATTTCCAAACTGAACCTTTTTCTGGAAGCCTGGGCTGTTTGTTCTATTAAAATTTGGTCTGTAACAAAAATCAAGTTAATTAATACATTCATTTATATATCCTATCCCCTTATCAAGTACAAAGAAATAAAATTTTATTATTTAAGTTCTATTTTTTAAAAATTTAAATTTTCTTTTTAAAAAAATGAAGTCTCCAAATTAGTAAATGTTCGCATCTTTCAAGGAAACCAACTGAGAAGGGCTCTTCCATATCACTTGTACTTGGCACTTTCAATCTACTCCTACTTAAAATTCTTAAAAGGAAAGGTCCTAGCACCCTATTTCAGTCCATTTGCATATATAACCTTTGTTCCATTTCTGCAAAAGCTAGCTTAATGAAATGTATCCTATTTTAAAACCTTGATCAAAAGGTAGGGATGACTGTCTCAACTGCTTCTCAACCTAAAAAAAAAAAAAACTCAGAACTGTAGACCACACATTTGACACTTGGAAAAAAAGGATAAAACTATGGCCCTGAGAGGTTACAATGCTTGCCTTAAATCACAGAATTAAAGGCAGAGCCATAACTAGAAATTATTCACCTTTAAGTGATGTTACAAAGCTCTAAAAATGTGTGATCCTAGTCTCGCCTCAAACATGAAAGTTTATAACTGAATCATCATAAACACCCCAACATTCTGATTCCTTACCTCTTTCACTGAAGCCCTTCCTTGACAACTTCAGTCCCTCCCCGAACACCCAAAAAATCCCTTTCTAGCTCTTAACAGGAACTGCTCCCAGGCTAATGCCTCTTCTCAGATCTGACCCACACTTTCTTCCCTAATAACAAGCTCATGACTATCCTTTATATGGGTAGTATTCAATGATATCTTCAACATAAGGAGTATGTTGTAGGCTGGGGAGGTGGAAAAATTGTGTTCTCAACCACTATACCATTTCTATATGAAAATGCCTTCCATGTACCAGACAAATGAATAACAAATTTTTAGAAAATTTACATTTTAGTGGGGTAATGCCTACAGAACAAAGTTATATAAATTTTATTTTGAAAAATAATACCATACTGTCATAATAATACTCCAACTACCCTAAAAATTACTATGTACAAAAATTCCTCAATTTCCCGACAGCTTACTTATCAAACCAAGTCTTCTTTGTAGTAACTCCAGGCTCCCCAGAACCAATCGTTCTTTTCCTTGACTCTGAATCCACTACTATCCTCATAGTGCTTTTATTAGGAGGCTTTTCTGTTTGAAAAGAAAATAAAAGAAAATAGATTAATATTTTGTTTATCATTGCTACACTTCCTTTAATTCACATTGAAAACAAAGTTCTGACACTTTGTCCAAATATATATTTTAGAAGAAATAGAAATAAATGTACATTCAAATATAGTAGTAATCTAAGAGATTTTAATTTATTTCTAATTCACTTCAACCTAACTAAAGAAGAATTAGTAATTCTCACATGTCAAATTAAAATATGACTCTGGCCCTGGCCAAGTGGTTCAGTTGGTTGGAGCATCATCCAGTAGACCAAAAGGTTTCAGGTTGATTCCTGGTCAGGGCACATACATAAGTTGCAGATTCAATCCCCAGTCAGGGTGCATACAAGAGGCAACCAATCAATGTTTCTCTGTCTCTGTCTTTGTCTGTCTCTCTCTCTCTTCCTCTCTAAAAATCAATAAATATATCCTTAGATGAAGATTTAAAAGGGGGGGGGGGGCTTTATTGAAAATAAAGTAAATAAATATTACTCTGTGGACAACTTCTATAAATCTATGTCACTGTTCCCCTTTACCATCACCCTCACCACAAATATGACCTTTAAGAATTGATAACTTAAAGAGTTGTGACTGAAGTGAGTTGCTTATTTAAACACCAACATATTAATATAATTAGAACATACATAATTTTAAAAGGTAAATATTCAAGATTGAAATGCAGTGCCAAAGATCTATTGAATATCTACTATCAACACTTTACATTTACTTAGGGTTTGATACAGTTTTTTTAACCTATTATTACCAAATGACATGCAAACCTTAATCCATATAAAATATATAATTTTAAAGTTCCTTTTTTTAAAGATAGATTTAAAAATTGTTGTAGAAATCCTATTCTTAGTATTTCTAAACACATAACTAACCAAAAGAACTTGGGATCTGTTTCAGCACAATCTCTCTCAGGGCTACAACTCTCTCTAATCTCTATGCAGTAGATCATATCAATTTATCACTCGTGAACTCTGCTCTGAGGACCAGTCCTAAATTTCTAACTTCTGGGTTTTCTCTGGCCATCTTCTTCTGGAAATCCCATGGGTATCCTAAAACTATGTACAAAACATAAATTACCTTCACATCAATGTACTTTTTAAATATTAAACATTTAAATTAATGAAACTACCATATCCCAAATCATATTTGATTTCTAACTCTGCCCACATCCCTTCAATTCACCTTGCATGTATTTCCTCTCAATTCCCACTGAGAAAACCTTGATACAAACTTGCATTACTTTTCACCTAGTCTACTGTCCTGAGCTTATGCTTCTAGATTCTCCTACCACTGACTTATCCTCTATAGAGAGCTACCAATATAAGTGCCCAGAACTCTGCTGCTTTCCTCCATCTCCAACCTCTCCCTCTAAACTGACACTTCCCATCAACATTTTTTAATATATATATTGATTTGGGGTGTTTAGCTTAGTGGTTAGACAACCATATTCTTTACATAGTGTTCCCTCGATATTTCCAGTACCCCAACTGGCACCATACACTGTTATCACAATATTATTGACTATATTTCCTATGATTTACTTACTTCCTGTGACTATTTTGTAGCCACCAATTTGTGCTTTAGTCCCTTCACCTCTTTCGACCAGTGCCACAACCTGCCCTCCCCTCTGAAACCACCAGTTCTATCTGAGTCTGTTTCAGTTTTGTTTGTTCATTTATTTTGTTCTTCCCAATTTCACGTATAAGTGAAATCATATGGTATTTGCCTTTCTCTGACTGACTTATTTTACTGAGCATCATAACCGCTAGGTCCATCCATGCTGTCGCAAATGGTTTAAGATTTCATTCTTTTTAAATATTCCATTGTATATATGAACCACAGCTTTTTTATCCAGTTGTCTACTGATGGGCACTTGGGTTGCTTCCATAGTTTGGCCATTATAAATACTGCAATGAACATAAGGGTGCATATATTCTTTTGAATTAGTTTTGGGACTTCTCCAGATAAATCCCTAGAGAATCAGTGTTTTGGGATTTCTTCAAATAAATCCCCAGAAGTAGAATCACTGTGTCAGAAGGCAGGTCCATATTTAATCTTTTGAGGAAACTCCATATTGATGTCTCCCATCAACATTATTCTATTTTAAAAAGAAACCTCGAGACCACTTTCCCCTCCAGCTCCAGCATTCTCTCACTCCTTATCCTAACAGCTATATCCTAAGAGCTGTCTACACCAGCTAAGTTTGCTTCCTTACAACCCAGGCATTCACTAATTCTCTGAAAACTGGCAGCTGCTTCCACTATTGCACTTAACTTGCTCTTGCTAAAATCGCTGTCCTCACTTGTTGCTTAAGCTTATGAATTCATTCCAATCTTTCTCTTACTTGACCTCTTGAAAGCATTTAATGCTGCTGATCATCTATCTTCCCCTCCTTCTTATTCTTCTCCCTTGATTTTCATGTCTCCACACTTTCTGCTTTCTTCTCTGCCTTTTTGGATTCATTTTCTCAGTGCCTTATGTAAGCTCCTTTTTCTTTGTCCACTGTTTCAGTGTAGGCATCCCTCCAGGTTATTTACTAGGACTTTCTAATCTCACTCTACACAACCTCCCTAAAACATCATATCTACGGCCATGACTTCATTCATCAATGTAGTGATTCTCAAGAAGGAAGGGGAGTGTATTTAGAACCTACTAGTATGTCAGTCAGGCTCGCAGACTTGGGTATGCCTCCTTTCATCTTTCTTTGCTTCTCACTATTACTAATGACACAGAAGATTGTTCTACATGCTTTTTTCATCTGCCCAATTTCCAGAGCAGAAACCTGGTGTCTTTTTCACCTTCTCCATTAATCCCATTCTAAGTCCAATAAGTTACATGTGTTGTCATCCCTTTCCACTAACCTTAAATCTTTCACTTCCCACTGTTACTACCATAGTCCAGCAACTATCATCTCTTCTCTAGAATTCTTCAAATGCCTTTAATTGGCCTCTTACATCCCTCCACATCCCTTACTCCCTTCTCTCCCAGTCACAAAATTCTTCCAGGTTCTAAAAACTATTTTAGAGTGTATACACTTTATCTAGATCCTTTCACTGGCTACCTTTGACTTAGCCTACATGTCTACAGCAGATTAGGTAGAAATATCCAGTATTTAGCATGGGTGATGTTCACAGTGCAAGCCGCAATTTCTTTGCCCAGTTTATCTTCGCAGGATCAGTTCTGCAATGGGATTTTTGGCCTTCTTCCTGCCTCACAAGCCTGGTTCACTGGCTCTTTTGGAGAGGTCTTTGAGCTATCCAATATCCTTTTTTCTTTAATATGTTATTTACCTAAAGGTTCACTAAGAGGCAGTAATGTGTTTTTCCTCAGTATTTGTGATGTGTCTGTTCTAATTCATCTGTATTCTCTCACTCATATTTTTGTTATTTATTTTAAAAAGAGAGTTAAAAAAAGAAGCAAGTTCCTCTGGGTATACAATTACCAAATGTGCGTATTACCTATATGTATTGTGTTTTTCCCCCAATATCCATTTTAATAAATTATTTTTCTGCTTAAAATTTTCAGCACTGGTTTTGTTGACAGCAAATGGAAACTTAGCCCTTCTTCCTACCTATATTCAATCAAGTCCAACGTATATTCAATCAAGTAGCATCTATCAAATTTCCCACCTCCTTAGAAATATGGCAAGGGCAACTATCAAGGCCTCCAAGTTACATTAATATTCGGAATTCTAAGGCATCAAAGGACCTACATTATTTTCATTTGTAAATTTAAAGTATGAAGCATAAAAATATGATTATCACATAATAGTCTAAGACAAATTTAAATTAAGGCCATCTATGGGCTATTAGAAATATATAATAATTATATAATTAACAGTATCATAGGCTTTTAAGTATCTATCACAATCCAGGACATTAAGTTTCAAACCAAATAGGCAACAGATGAAAACATTTTGGGGGACGGGGACCAAAAAAAGGAAACAGAAGTATAGGTAACACTCAATATAAATGGATTGCTAAATCAGTTTTGACGCATAAAAAAGTGTTATTAATAAAGAGTATATTCCTAAACCAGCTCACAGAAATAGCACATAATGTTTCTAAAGAACAGTATTAAAGCAATTACTACATGATTCCATGAGAAAAGGCGTTCAAATTTCTAGGCACACCAGACATTTATCTCACAATAGGTCCATTCATGTAATTTACATGCATGTGGAGCTGAAATTACCACCACTCCAACTTCTATATGATTAAGATTTATATGTAAGAGGTTTGATTCCTCTTCCTTCCCTCATCACCAACAAAAAATTGACCTGGCACTGGAATGGGTCTAATAAATACTGATCTGTAGCAGCGTATAGTTATGCCATTCCAAAAGAGCAAGATAAGAGATGACCTGATGTTGGAGTTCTAGCAAGAGCAAGGAATATGTACATGATAAAAAGAAAACAAGTACTAAATAGTGACCTTAAGAAGTTTTCTCTGAACTGGCTAGGTAGAAGAGACTTGGAGGATAAACAGCCACAAGTGGCTACTTTTCAATTACAAGAAACTGTTAAAAAAAAAATTTTTCATAAGAAAATAATCTTTTTTACTGCTGTTGTTGTTAATGAGAGTTATTAGAATGCTGCAAAAAGAATTTAAAAGGTGGGCATCCAAATGAAATGTCCTGTGATCTCAAATTAAATTGGGTATAAATTAAAATGATCTTCACATCTTCATCACAAAAAGGTCTTTGAATACTCAAGGTATGTAGATGCTCAGGATCTGAGAGTTTTCAATAAACAACAACAAAATAAATCAAAGTATAAGTAATCACAAGTTTACTAAACCACATTAGTTACTGACTGTTAATTAAGTTCGAGTTTTATTCACGCTTGATGAGACATGACATACTAGAAAAAAAGACATTGGGGAAAAACTGGAAAGAAAATGGCATTTAAAAACTAGTTGAAATAAGGAAAAAGACACTTATTGGCGTACATAATATTTTTCATTATGTCTAACAATCCCTCACTTCCCTATATCAACTATCTGTAGCAAATCTTTCAAATTAATGTAAGCTCTACACCTCCTCTGACTCTCCATATCCAGTTGTACCTCTAGCATAGGAGTCTTGCTGCCTCAGCTTGTGACTGTATCAGTCTAAACTCTATCTTCTCCCATTTAGAACTTTTATCAAAAAGTCTGTCACCTCTAAGAAAAATGTAAAAGCTAATTAGACACTTCCTGAAACATAATTCCTTTTGCTTAAAATATTATAAGCAAACGAATTTTAAATTCTAACATCAAAAGTAAAATACACATCAAGCATAATTTGTACAGCTAATTTCATTAACTATGACGGAATCTATCTTTAGGAATTAAAGCATTACTCTAAAGAGTTTAAAGAAACCTATTAAGACTGCAAATGATAGAAAATACCCAACAAAAGCTACATTAGAAAATATGTACTTTTGTAAAATTTCTTTCCTCTTGGAAACACCATAAATAGAGAAATACATTATTACCTTTTCTCTCATGAGAGACCAAAGGATTGAAGAAACAAACATAAACACTATCCTTTACTCAACCTATAAATACAGGACCAACTGTTCTTTATAAATGTTTGTCACGCTTGATATTACAAAAACTATAAGAAAAGATTAATCATAGTACCTCTGGGTGGCAAATCCATATCCCCTGATGTCAATCCTATCAGGTTAGGCCTTTGTGCATGCACTCTGTGTCTATACATAGGTCTGGAAGTGTTTGTTATGCTTGGGGCCTCAGGATTATAGCCATCTGTGTCATATGTATCTGGTAATACAAAAACTGTAATTAAAAAACAATTGTAAAACTCCATTTTATAATTTTTCTATATTGGTAATAGAAAAAGTAAACTATAATATGTTACTAATACAAAGCTAACATATTTTATATGTATTAAAAAGAAAATTTAGTTTTATAAAAATGCGTTATTTAAAAGAAAATATAACAGTTTTAAAAAACTTAACTGAAGACTTACATTTAATGTACATTCACCATGTCTACATTTTTATTCTATATAATTGTAGTGAGAAAAATAGACCTGCTAGAGTAATTCACTTTCTAAACATTTAAAAATTCCTCATCTAAAGCTAAATTCATAAATATAGAGAGGGCCAAAACTGCACCTGCAGTAAAAAGAGAAGGTGGAGCAGGAGGAGGCTGGTGATGAATGCCTGTTGTTACTACAGTAGGAACAGAACTGGTTGCAGAGTTTGGGGGAGCATCCATGCCAGATGGCTGCAAAGGAGGAAGTGGTGGTGGTGGTCCTGTCAAAACCAAAGAATAAGAAATATCATCTGAAAGCAAACAAATAAAATAAGTTATTTGTATATCCAAACATGATATTCTCATTCATCAAACTATAATATCTACAAACATCAAACTTTTATAACTATTTTAGTTTTCTAGGGTAAATAGCCTTTCAATGTTTTCTAAAACAGGTTTCTCTTAAGCTATAAAATATTACAGGCAGCTGGAATTTATCAGGGATTGTGCATAATTCAGAGCTACTCCAAACCACAGTAAATCATAGGTTTGGCATAGTCAAGTAAAGTAGGGGTATAGTCTTAGTTTCCAGCATCTACAAAATTACTTTAGATACTTTTAATAAAAGCAAGCATCAAACTATTAACTTTTTAAAAAGACTCCAAATGGACAGATAATAAGTAGAGGCAAACAAACATATTTACTTACCTGTGACAGGTGGTAAACTGGGTGGTAATGGGCCTGGTGGTGGCACTGGGGGTCTCAGATTCACAGGTGGGGGTGTGAGAATTGGTGGGGGTGGGGGGAGTCCAGGAGGAGGTGGTCCTTCAACAACAGGAGGCTGTGCTGGGAAAGGCAGCATACCAGGAAGATTCACATCTTCTACAACTACTGGGTCACTGCCATGATCAAAAGGGCACATGTCTCCTCTCATGCAGAAACCCTTTTCTGTGAGGAAAAAGAAATATGAAAAGTGCTGGACATTGAAATTTTCTCTGAGTTAACAAAAGTAAGATATTTAAAAACAAATATTTTTTAATATAGGGCAAGTGTAATTAACCATATCACAAGAGCTACCCTACTAATTCCAGTAATTTAAAAATACTTAAGTCATAATAAAGATAACACATACACTAGAAAATACATCACCAAATTAAAGTGAGTATACCTAACTAATAAGATGGTATAAAACATATATATATATATATATATATATATATATATATGTCATTAGAAATACTTCCTGTATTTAAATCTCACATATAACTTTATAAACACTGCAACTATAGCTTTCATAAGTTTATAAAACTTTTACAATAAAAGCTTAAGAGTCTTCATTTATAAATTCTTAAATAGGTGATATTCACATTTCTGGTTCCACTTACATGACAATAACTGTTCATTTTTAAAAACATAAACTTTGAAGAAAATATTTCAGTAGCAGATTCCCTCACAAGTAACTCTATAAATATTAGTCTTGTTTGATAAATTCCAAATATATCTTAAGACTTACATGCAAATAATATATTTAAATTGATATTCAATAGTTAGTAGTGATTAATGACGTTTTCAATAATATTGAGAAATTCATGAGTGCTTAATATTAATTTACAACTATTTCCAATAGGTTAAGTCTTTGAATAACTGTGTGTAACCTAAACTTACAGAATTTAGTCAGTTAGATATATTAATTCAATATGTAGAAACAGCTGAAAGGCTTACTTACCATCATAGTCTCTACACCGTTTTTTTGGCATTGGTGGTCTGACATATGAGTTATGGTCCACTTGGTCTTCATGAAATTCAGACCAACTTTCGGTAGTGTTATTACCATGATGTGTAGGAGCAATTACTGTTATGGTGCTGCTCAAAGTAGGTACAGGGTAGTGACCAGATGAAATGTTAGGTACTGAAGAAACTGGAGTATAATTGTTTTCTAGTGGATCTGTTCTATCCAGGTCATATTTGGGTTTTACCAGATCTCTTTCTGCAATAAAATATAAATGACTTATAAAACTATTTTTTTTAAAAACCATGTCCCAGATGCAGAAATAGTACTATTTTCACTAAACAGAAAATGTCCACATTTTAGACAACCCTCCTTTTCTTTTGAAAACAATGAATATACAATGGCCCAAGAAAAGCTATTTCTTTTCAATATGACCTAAACTATAAGACCACACATAAATTTGCTGTACTTAATGAGTTTAAAATTTCTTGAAGTTCTATTTACAGAAGAGATTTTTAATTTTTCTTCACTGTAATCTTACCCCCCAAAAAGCATAATATGTATTATAATAAAACTATGGTTATTTTTTCTGCGATGAATATTTGTCATCCTTCTAAAAATCTTAGCATGCCTTTTTACAGTGAACACCATTTGACGATGAGAATGGATGAGCAGAGGAAGAAAAAGGAGTTCATATTAAACATAAACAAAGAAATTAACTGGGCTGTATATGGTCCCAAGGAAAAGAATAGGTATTAAGGAGATTCGTTAAGTGAAGCAATGTGCAGAGAGGCCTAGTATACGTAGAACAAAGGGGGAAAAAACTCTAAAAGAAGAGTAACAGAGAAGTGCAGGGCTTATACAAAGGCTACAAAATCACTTCCTACACTAAATAAAGATGGCTGTACAATAAAGTTTGCAAGGGTAGCTAATATCAAAGCTTAAGTAAAGGTGTTTTACTCAAAGATGTTTGTTTCATTGGTCATAATATCTCCCTTTTAATAATGCACATTGCAAGAAATATTATACATGTTGGAAATGACATGGTCGTGCAATTACACACATCTGAAATGAAAACTTTTAACTGTTTTCATAGTTTTGAAGTATAACTGATATATAATTAAAACAAGTTTTATGGTCCTTAAGTTAAGAAGTATTTTCTCAATAAGAGAATGCCAATAAAAATATACACATATATGATTTACCCCTGCTTCGTGTTCTGCTCCTGCTTCTGGTCCTGCTTCTATCCCTATCCCTGTCACGAAGCCTCTCTTTACTCCAACTTCGACTCCGACTCCTGCTGTAACTGCGACTCCGACCTCGTCTTCTATTGTACCGGTCTCTGTATGAATCTCTTCGAGGAGGGTTTCGATCATAATCTCTTTTGCGAGAACGATCATCTTTTTTCCTCTCATCACGACTTCTAAAGAAATATATGATCACTTTACTTTCATGTACATAACTTTTAAGTAGATACAGGGAAAACTCTAAATGCAAAAGTTATATTTAATTCTTATAATATCATGATTCTTTTTTGTACCATCAGAATACAAACATAGGAAAATGAAACAATAAATAACTGGAACAATACAAAACTGAACATGTTCTGCAGAAGAAGTACTCTAAAACACCTTTAAGGAAAAATCTCTAAAAGTCTTAATTCTTAGTCTTACACAAAAAGGCATATATACATTTAGGTTATCTATACATGTCTTATAGTAAATAATATCTGTACATAAATGTACTTATGCATATGAACACATATCTCATAGGCATGTATCACATGCCCTGCATTCTAAACGCCTTTGAAACCTTAATGAAAAAAAAATCATAAATTCTTGAGGGAAAACCAAGATGGCAGCATAGGTAAACACCGGAAATTGCTGCATCGCACAACTACTTAAAAAAAAAACTACAAGACAAAACAGACATCATCCAGAACCACAGAAAGGCTGGCTGAGTGGAAATTCTACAACTAGAAGGAAAGAGAAAAGCACACTGAGACTCAGAGGAGGTGCGGAAGTAAAGTGCAGAGGTACTGAGGCAAGCGCGGAAAAGGCTCGCAACTGAGGACGTGGCTGTCTTTTTCAGTCAGGAGGGAGTCTCAAGCTCCTGATGGCTCTGAACTCCTGTTCCGGGCGAGTCTCTGGGGACCCAGACTCCGGGAGAAACTGGACTGTCTGGCATCAAGCAGAACTCCAGGGCGGCTTTCTCTCAGAGGTGCTTGCAGCGATTACCGCGGGACAGTGAGACCCGCTCGGGGCCTCTTGGGCAGGACTGAGGATCAGCCATAGCTGTTTGCTCCGCCCTGTTGATTCCCTGAGACCCCGCCCCACCCAAGCTGTGCTCAGAGGCTTTTGCATATGAATGACCTGGCCCTTTGCAATCTAAAATTACCTAACTAACTGCAGCTGGGTCAGAGACCCAGAATATCCAAAAAGAAGGCCCAAGGCCCCACAGCAGCTTGCATTGCTTCACAGCTGGGCCTCATCTGGGCACCTCCAAACCCCAGACAAAGAAGAGGAATCTGCAGATCTCTCGTAGCTCCTGCTGGGTAGCCTCAGGCAGAGGCTAAATTAGCACCTCCTTAGACATCCAAGAGCCAGTGTACCCAGTGGTCAGAGTGGACCATCCAGACTACAACTTCTCAGATCCATAAGGACACACTCAGGGGGCAGACTCAGTGAGCACCAAAGCCCCACTGAAGCAAGTCTTGCCACAGAAGGGTGTTTCCAGCACAGAAGTTCTCCCACTGCAGACACAGCTGATTCTCACAGCCAACTGGCCTAGAGGTCAATTCCTCCCAGTGATACCTACAACAATCAAGGCTTAACTACAACAAGACTGTGCACCCAGCCCACAAAGGGGTATACCAAGAGTGTCCACCTCAGGTAATTGGGGAGGCTGAGCCACTGGGTCCTATAGGACACCTAGCACACAAAGCCACTCTACCAACACAGGGAAGCAGCCAAAATGCAGAGACAAAGAAACAGGTCACAAATGACAGAAATGGAGGAAAGCAAACTACTGGATATAGAGTTCAAAACCACAGTTATAAGGTTTTTCAAGAATTTTCTAGAAACCGCCGATAAATTTAGTGATACCCTCAAGAATATGAAAAAGGACCAACTAGAAATTAAGCATACACTGACTGAAATAAAAAATATTATACAGAGACCCAACAGCAGACTAGAGGATCCCAAGAATCAAGTCAAAGATTTGAAATACGAAGGAGCAAAAAACACCCAACCAGAAAAACAAAAAGAAAAAAGAATCCAAAAATATGAAGATAGTGTAAGGAGCCTCTGGGACAACTTCAAGCGTACCAACATCCGAATTATGGGGGTGCCAGAAGAAGAGAGAGAGCAAGATATTGAAAACCTATTTGAAGAAATAATGACAGAAAACTTCCCCTACCTGGTGAAAGAAATAGACTTACAAGTCCAGGAAGCACAGAGAACCCCAAACAAAAGGAATCCAAAGAGGACCACACCAAGACACATCATAATTAAAATGCCAAGAGCAAAAGACAAAGAGAGAATCCTAAAAGCAGCAAGAGAAAAACAGCCAGTTACCTACAAGGGAGTACCCATATGACTGTCAGCTGATTTCTCAATAGAAACTATGCAGGCCAGAAGGGAGTGGCAAGAAATATTCAAAATGATGAATAGCAAGAACCTACAACCAAGATTACTTTATCCAGCAAAGCTATCATTCAGAATTGAAGGTCAGATAAAGAGCTTCACAGATAAGAAAAAGCTAAAGGAGTTCATCACCACCAAACCAGTATTATATGAAATGCTGAAAGGTATCCTTTAAGAAGATAAATAATTTGATAAACAGAATAAACTGGTGAACATAATAGAATCAGGGACATAGAAAGGGAGTGGACTGACAATTCTCAGGGGGGAAGGGTTGTGGGGAGTGCGGAAAGAGACTGGACAAAAATCATACACCTATGGATGAGGACAGTGGCAGGGGTAAGGGCAGAAGGTGGGGTGGTAATTGGGTGGAGAGGAGCTATAGGGGGAAAAAAGAGGAACAACTGTAATAATCTGAACAATAAAGATTTAATTTAAAAAAATCAAATTCTTATTAAAGGAAAACTTCAGGCAAGAAAAGGTCTCAAGATTTCACTGGAATTTGAAGAATAAAAATAAGAATAACTAATAAATGGTAAAAAAGAACTGAGTTACACTTTCTTAAACCAGTAACAAAATAGACATTACTTGCCCCCGTGTAAAAGATTTTACAGCTTTGTGTATCTTTTATGTAAAAGATAACCAATGTCTAATCACCAAACATGGTTCAATTAATTAATCACCTATTTTCTCTGTATCGGGAGCTTGACTGGGGAGGACTGTGATTTAGCCTTCTGGAAAACTTCTTCTCTCGTTCTTCCTCTTTTATGATCTGACATACCAAAAATAAAAGGTGTAGAAGATTTAGCAACAGTCATTCCTTATCATGTTACTATTTCAATGACTTAACTGATATTAAAATATAAAAGCAAAATTGCCATTTAAACAAAATACATTTAGTTTAATCACAAAAGAGAGGCATGCTGAAAGTTACAGTGAACCTAAAGAAACTCATAAATGCTTATCTTAGATAATAATTAGTGGAGAAAAAACATTTTAAGCAAGTGTCCTCATTTAAAAATTATTAGTGAAAACCCAACTTTATTCCTCTTTCAAAAGTCCAACATACACTCATGTTTTGGTTCATTGAATTGGTCTGGTACTGAACACATTAGGAAATATATGAGCATACATTAGAACTAACCAAGTCATAAAAAAATAAAACATTTGAGAAAATAACATATAAGATAAAATAGTTCTTCAGTTTCTCATGGTAGTATGGCAGCTATATATTCCTCTTTCCTACAAAAGGCCTCCATTCACATTATATAATTAATAGAAAGCAGCCCTGAAAAACATTCCCTTGTTCAATGCTACTTTGTTTAGGCCAAAATTTTCCATGCTGTACTGCCCAGAACACTATTTCCATAGCACATTAATAGATGTTACTAGAAAGAAAAGGATTTAGAAGATAAATTCAGAAAATATTGAACGTGTGGCTTCTAGAAATATGATAGGCATGAAGATTTGCATTTTTATAAGAACCCTAAGATATTCTGATGTAGGTAGTCTACAGATAATATAAACATGTTCTAGTTTATGCCAGTTGCTCCAGCATCCCTTTGGGTGAAAGCCTCTCACTGTCAAGTGTCCCCATCCTATATAATAAAAGGGTAATATGCAAATTGACCCAACAGCAGAATGACCTGTCGCTATGACACGCACTGACCACCATGGGGCAGACGCTCAATGCAGGAGCTGCTCACTGGTGGTCAGTGCACTCCCATAGGGGGAGTGCCACTGAGCGAGAAGTCGGGCTCATGTCTGGTGAATGCAGCGGCAGTGGCGGGAGCCTCTCCCGCCTCTGCGGCAGCGCTAAGGATGTTCGACTGCCGGCTTAGGCCCGCTCCCTGCAGGAAGCGTCAGTTGGGCATCCCCTGAGGGCTCCCGGACTGTGAGAGGGTGCAGGCTGGGCTGAGGGACCCCTTCCCCGTCGCGAGTGGACAATTTCGTGCACCAGGCCTCAGGTTGTATGATAAGTTAAATATGGATATTCTATCAACAGACCAAACTCTGACACTGCTTAAAAATTTTATAACAGTCTGCCCTTTTTTCCCCCTTATTAATACTTTTATTCTCTTGCCACCCATATCAACCCTCCCCCACCAAAAATACTGGGTACAAATAAAACTCTAAGACACTTTTTCCTATTTGCCTCAATGCACACTTGGGAGTAATTTGTGTTGACAGATCATCATACCCCATAGTACACAATCAACAGTGAACTTTTACTACACCCATAGCATTTTTTATCTAGATTGCCATCTGACATTCTGACAGTTCTTAAAGGGACAAATATCTTTAACAAGGGTGTTTTATGTGTGTCTGTCTGTGTAATTATATACAAATACATGTGTATAAATATGTTTAGGTATAGAGGCATAAAAATATATTTAAGAATTATTATGTAACATTATATGTGTGTGTGTATATGTATGTATGTATAAATATATGTATGTATAGATATATATATATAGATATATATAATTGCATAATAAACATGTCTTAGTTATATAATCTGAAGAAGAAAAAAAAAAAGGTTTATGAGGGGTAAAAAACCCAAAAGTCACAACCACATCTTTCACACAACAATCTCTCAATACTAATAGTAATTACCATTTATTAAAAAACCTACTATGTGCCACATATATACTGGGTGCTTTCTCGATATTATTTAACTACCTCACAATAACCCCATAATATTTCCATTTCACAGCTGAGTAAACTATGGCTTGAAAAAGTCATGTTTTCAAGGTCACAAGGCAGTGACTGTTAAAGCCAACTTTTAATTGTCAATTATTTTTGCTGGAATTACAATCCTTAAATATCAAATTGAGGAGATCTTAACACTTGGAGTGGGGGAAACGAGTTAAGTCGGCTCGCGTGAATTGCGCGTACTCCGCGGGAGCCGTCTTTAACTCGGTTCATATAGATTTGCGGTGGAGTGCGGGAAACGTGTAAACTCGGGCCGATTGTAACTGCGTATTACCAAATATTTGTTTGTAATCCACCCTTTTGGTGGATGGAACAAAACCAAAAGACAGAGCCATCTTATATTTTGGCGGGAAATTCACCCCACACCGGAGTATTAATTATTATATGATTATTAAACAAAAATGGTAATCTTGTATAAAAGATGGCTGCTCTGGAGTTTTCCCATAAAAACTCTTAAATTATGAGGTCATTTCTATTGCCCTGTGAAGGTCATTTTATTTAACTACCTTAAAAATAGTTCCCTACAAAATGCTTGTGGAACAGAAACAAACAGATTTACTGTCAATCTAATTATTTTCACAGAACATAGGTAATAAGCGTCCATAGCTATAAGATACTATGCAGAAAAGTTAAAGGCCTGCACGTAAGATAGATCCTTGGCTGGCATCTGTGAACTTTGATTTCTAGAGGGTTGCCTGATAATAACAGCTCACTTACGCCTGAATTGTCTGTGTATGCAATATGGTTCATAGCGAACACCTGCCTTCCTCCTAGGAATCTAGAACATACTAGGCAGAAGGTACCCAGGTGGCCAAACCTAAGTAAAAGTCCTGGACACTGAGTCTTTAACAAGCTTCCCTGGTTCACACATACTGTCACTTCTCCTTAAGCACATCTTAGGTGACTCCACTGGGAGAGAACTCTGAAAGCTTGCGCCTGTATCCCCCTAGACTTTGCACCATACACTGTTTTCCCTTCGCTGATTTTGCTTTGTATCCTTTCACTGTAAGAAATCATAACTGTGAGAATGATTATATGCTAAGTCCTGTGAGTGCTCCTAGTGAAATCATTGAACTTGGGGGTGGTCTTGAAGGCTCCTGACACAGATACAGAAAATACAACTCAGTTTAATTATCCCTTATATGTTTTCAAAGAAAATGTAAGGTTTAACACAAATTCTTACCTCGTCTTTTTTTATATCTTTTTCTTGGTGCTGAAAAAATTCCACCTTTAAGCTTCCTGATGATGGCTGCTCTGGGGGAGGTAGGTAACTCTTTGTATTCACAGCATCAAAAAGTTTTTCCACAAATATCTGTGTCTCTAAAAATAAAACAAACCAAAAAATCCCACATATTAAAAGCCATTTGCTAAGATATTATTCTCCACTTAAAACCTTCCTAACCAGTGTGCCATGGCACAGTCCCATGGTAACACCAATATATTCAGTTTTCAGGGTGATGAGGGCTGGAACAGCCAGTTTCTGGGCCAGTCACTTCCAGCCATGACCAGTCTCCATGTACCCTACCAGTGCACAAACACAGATACTACCATCATCTAGATCACCGGTTCTCAACCTGTGGGTCGCGACCACTTTGGGGGTCGAACGACCCTTTCACAGGGGTCGCCTAAGACCATCGGAAAACACACATAATTACATATTGTTTTGTGATTAATCACTATGCTTTAATTATGTTCAATTTGTAACAATGAAAATACATCCTGAATATCAGATATTTACATTACAATTCATAACAGTAGCAAAATTACAGTTATGAAGTAGCAATGAAAATAATTTTATGGTTGGGGGTCATCACAACATGAGGAACTGTATTAAAGGGTCGCGGCATTAGGAAGGTTGAGAACCACTGATCTAGATGTTGGCAAGTGAAAAAGCTAAACAGCACTGGGCTAGACAACATTCAAAGTAGATCCATAAGGAGTACTATCTTTAAATAAACAAGCATACCGTCATTTTCTTAAACTTCAAAGAAAAAATGTCAGCATGATTTAAGAAAAAGCTTAAGAATGGTAATAAGAAAAAAGTCTTTATAAATAAGCTATGGATATAATCAGTAATAAGTTGTGGATATAAATCAGCAATAATATGGATTGTTCATCTTCGTTACAATTAGAGCCTGTCTCTTACTGAGTTCCTTTAATACTATGGATACTTTCTTTTTTAAACTTCTATTAGTGTTTACTTTATGTTGATTTTACTCCTACGCCGTAAGTTTTTGTTTCTTCAGTTTCTTCTGGGATAGTTTTCTTTTGTGCAACCTCCTCTTCTGGTTCTTCTGGTTTAGGAATAATCTGCTTTTTTAAAAATGTTTTAAATATGTTTTTATTGATTTTTTAGAGAGAAAGGAAGGGAGAGGGATAGAGAGATAGAAACATCAATGACAGAGAGACATCAATCAGCTGCCTCATGCACACACCCTACCGGGGAGCTAGCCAGCAACCAGACATGTGCTCTAATATGGAATCAAACTGGTGACCTCTTGGTTCATGGATCGATGCTCAACCACACCGGCTGGGATGGAATAATCTGCTCTTTTTCAGTAAGGATCATCTCAATGTGGCAAGGAAAGCTAATGTATTGGTTAATCTACCCATGAGCTCTGTAAATTCTGCACCACATCTTGGGAGCTTTGTTCACTTGGATGTGCTCAATGACCAGAGAATCTACATCTAAGCCCTTAAGTTCAGCATTACTCTGCATTTGTAAGCATATGCAGCAAAATTCAGCACTCTTCGGGAAACCGACCCGGTGTCCAGCACACTGTTTGGCCTGGGCACACCTACCAATTCTAATACTATAACAACGGAATGGCACACATTGCTTCTGTAAAGTGACTCCCTTCAGATACCTGATGGCTTTTCGGATATGCATACCCTTGATGGCCTGGACAGTTTCACAAGTCTTCTTAAAGTGAACATGAAGATCTGAACCTCTTGATTTGCATGATTTTGTGAGGTCTTCTGGTCAAGTGAATAGCGAACCATTTTCAGAGGTCACCTCAGACTTCTTTCAAGAACAGCTAGATAATCTTATTTAAATAACATTAAAATAAAGTACTATTCTTAAACCAAAGATCTTACCTTTTTGAAGAAATACATCCAGTTGATCAATACATAATGCCTTTAATTCTTTTTCACTTTTGTCTTTTTTTACCAAAGCAAGAACATATTTTGCTAGGGCTGATGGATCTGCATCACAGCTGAAGAAAAAAAACAGTGTTGAAGGAAATTTAGCCATAAATAATTGCATACTCTACAAATTCCAGTTACAAGTGGACTTAGTCGGCATAATCAATAGTGACATGAATTAACATAAAAAGCACCTGGCTCATGGAAGGCAATAAAGACATATAAGTTCTGCTTTACATTATTATACTTTACATAATTTGTACAGTCATTATTTAGTATCCTTCCAAATATATACTAATTTATGTATTGAAAACTCAGTAGTCTTTATTATTATCAAAAAAGATAAATTATAACAAAGTAAAAACAATTGCAAAACATCAAAAACTAATATAATTAGTATGGTATGATAAAAATATCAAAAGGCTTTTTCCTCTCAGAAGTAGATAAATAATAGCTAAGAAAATACTGGAAGAGCACAATAAAGAGAAACTTAAATATATATTACTCGATATATTGTTTTAACAACAGACAAGAAAGTCTGGAAACAGAACCAAACATATATAGTATTTTAGATTTTATAATGGTGGCATTAAAATCAATAAAGATGAGATGAACTAAGCTACCTGTATCTAAATGTCTGACCTAAAGGAATGATAAATGTTATCTATGATAATAAAAGGGTAATACGCTAATTAGACCAGGTCAACCAGCCATCTTCCAGATGTCCGACTTTCTTCCGGACAAAACCATGGTGGTGGGGGCTGAGGCAAAGGCAGTTAGGGGCAAGATCAGGCTGGCAGAGGGTTAAGGGTGAGATCAGGCTGGCAAAGGAGGGCAGTTGGGGTAACCAGGCCGGCAGGGGAGGGCAGCTGGGGCCTTAGACAGGCAGGCAGGTGAGTGGTTAGGAGCCAGTGGTCCTGGATTGCGAGAAGGATGTCTGACTGCCGTTTTAGACCTGATCCCGGCAGTCGGACATCCCCCGAGGAGTCCCAGATTGGAGAGGGTGCAGGCTGGATTGAGGGACACCCCGTCCCCTGTGCACAAATTTCGTGCACCATGCCTCTAGTGAGATGATAAATGTCTGCTGGGCTACTAAGTTCATTTTCAGGGTAATTTGTTACTTATCATAAGTCACCTTCTCATAGATCTACTACTATTTATTTGCAAAGACTTGAAGTAAGTTATAACCTAAACAAAAAACAAGGGGGCAAAAATATTATTTCAATGTTACATGAGAGATTTTAAAAAACTTTTTCTTCATAATTTACTTCAATATAGTTACTTATACCAACGTTTTTTAAATGCAGACAAAATAATTTATGATAAATTAATATTTTCCCATTTAATTATAATGAGCACAGAAATATTTAGATCTGTGATAAAATAAGCATGAAGAAATGTGACAACCACCTCATGAAGTATTTATAGATATACTTATATCTGGCAATCTGGTATTACTGCATGAGAAACCATGAAACAATACTTATGCATGTTAGGTAACTTGAATAAACACAATCAACTAAGCATTAACCTAACTAGACATCAAGCTAAACATACTTCAGTTTACTAGAAATCACTAATACTATATCACAATGTTATATTGTTTTATTGCAGTTGCTGTTAATAAAAAATTCAGTCTCTACATTGAATCTAAATGCTATAATTTGATTCAAAACTGGTTTGTTGTGAATTTTCAATTTAATAATGCCTTTCTAATAATGTAACTGTCAGTTTACATTTCTCTAAACTGAACACCAAATCTACTCTATTCCCACCCTGTTTTCAAAGGATTAATATGTCAGCATCTAAAAATCTGGAGAAAGACCTTTGTGATTTTTATAATTATTATGGTCTATAGACTACAGTTTTATAAAATAGTAAGACAAAATTCCCAATCTTTGCTCAACAACTTTGAATAAAATTTAGAATAAAAGTCACAACCACAACAAATCAACTATTATACACAAAAAAATTTAAGTACCTGAGATAGCCTGAAAGGCAGACTACCTTTTAAAATTTGTTAGATTGCAAATTATAAACTAGAAGATTTGTAATTTCACACTTAACAGCAAAACAGGTAAATCTGTATTTGATAGGCAATTTTTCTTAAGTCCTATAAGAAAGCATTTTATTTGTATTTCAATTATTTTGTTTTTGTGTGTTTTTTATCTTTATTGTTGACAAAAAAAGGTATGTGCTTGCAAATTATAGCTTAGTAAAAAATAATCTGAACTATGAACATTTAATAATATACCAAAATGGTATGTATCAGGAACAGGCAAAATGTGTTCTCTTTTCTATTTGTCTTAATTAAAAGTGCCAATGCTGCATCATATCAACATCTAGCAATGATAACCTACTATGCAAAATAAATGATGTAAAAAAAAAAGTCTAAATAACCTAATCAAAAGAATCACATTCACATAATAAGGGGTTAGTTACTTTTTAAAAATGTCTCCATGGCAAGTAAGATTGATTATTCATTAAGTACTTTACTAAATTAGCTGCTACTGATAATAGGTTTGTGGTGTGAATGATACATATCTTGTCAGAGCTACACTTTACCCTCTTCTACACTGCTAGCATTCTGGAAACATGTGAAAGAAAAAGGGGGGGGGGCTGAAATCTTCTTTCAGATCAGAAAACAATCAGATTTGAAAATGCATAAGGACAAAGGAATACTGAAAGAGTGGCAAACTGCATTCCTAGCTCAGAAAGCATGCCAAATTCCCACTGATTCTATATTTCATAAGCACTTAGCCCAGCAAAAACATAATCTGCCAATAAAGCATGAGTCTAACTCAGAGTAGTGTGTGTGTGTGTGTATTGGGGGGGGGGGGATGGAGGTGAGGGGAGGTGGGGAAAACATAAAGAAACTGCAAAATAAGGCAGGCATGAGACATGACATACCAATAGCATTTGTGACAGGTGAGGTGGAGGGGGGAGCAACTAAGTATTTTAGTTAATAGTAAGTCAAGTGAGACAAGGTGTGAAATGGTTGGGAGAAAACTTAAATCATAAAGATGCAATAAAAATAGAACACTGAGAACTTCCAAGGAAACAGTGCAGTGCAGTTCTCTTTTGCAGTAGGGAGTGCTTTCACTTATAGGTGCCAACTTTTATAAATATATCAACAAATTCAAAAAGATTCATAGAAAAAGACCAGAATGGTAAAGGGTCAGATAGCTTACTTAGGGATTCTCAGGAAAATTGAAATGTCAGAGAGAACTTTGTAGGCTTTCAAATAATTAAGGGGCTATCACAAGAAAGGATTACATTTATTCACTATATCCTCCATGGGATATAATTAGAACTAGTAAATGAAAGCAACCATTTTTGGCTTAAAATAGAGACAGACTTTAAAAAACAATAATCAGAGGCCTCCCACAGGCAGAATAAACTGTCTGAGAGAAAGTGAGTTCTCCATCATTAGAATGGTTTCAAGCAAAGGCTGAATAGCCCCTGGCAGATAAGTACTAGATTGGATAGTAAATCCCTCACAAATCTGAGAGAGCATAATACCTAGGTTAATTTTGTTCATGGGATATTGTGCAGCTATATAAAATATAAGATAATGCAGTATTCTTTTTAATTACTAATCTATAAATATTAGTAAAATGTTTAAAGTTATACAACACTATAAAGTACACCTTATGTAAGATAGTTTTATCAAAAATATCAAAATCTAAAAATAGAACTTTTTACTCATGAGTGTAGCCTCTGGGCCTAACACAGTACCTGAGACAGAATAAGTAAATACATTTATTATCTCCTAAATACCACATTTATCTTTCAAAAGTATTTAATAAGCACCTACTATGTCAGACACTGTTCTGTATCTTGAGGATACAACTTTAAAAAAAATAAAGTTCCTGTCCTCAAGGAATTTAGGGGGTATGTATAAGGAGGAGACAGACAATGCATACATACATATAAATAATGTAATGTCATGTAGACAAGTGCTCTAAAGAAAAATAATACAATGTAAAGGGACAGAGTATAGAAGAAAAAGAATGAAGGGAAGGAAGGAGGAAGAAAAGAAAAGAGAATAAATGAATGAATATATCTTAGGTAAAATCATCAATAAAGGTCCCTGATGAAATGACATTTAAACAGGGATCAAAATGGAGTGCAAGGGTAACTTAGGCCAAGGCACCCTACAGAAAAGGGTTGACTTGGGTGCCTACTTGATACATGAGGAACAAGAGTTCAGTGGGATTGGGCAAAGTGGGCATTCATAAACATTTGAATTTCTAATTTCTCTTCTCTGTTAGGATTAAAAATTAATGGCTTCAATGAGCTTTGACAAATTTAATGTCCAGATTGCTATGAAGTCATTCAAATCAATGATTTTGAAGGCATAAATATAAAATTTTATCAATCTCTGAATATACTGTGTTAAGGATACAACTAATAATAATGGCCTTGAAATGCATAGGGTTGACAATCTAAGAGGGTCATTCTCTTCCAACTGTTAGTACACACACTAAATAAGTTGGAGAAGCCAAAGCAATGCAAAAATCAAATGTTATTAAGTCTCTCCCCCAAAATAAATTTTCTTAATACTTTAAATAACACAAATCAAATAAGCCCTAATATAAATGTTAAAATTATTGTTAATACACTCATCATATTAATTTTTACTTTTTAATTTAGAACTTTCAAAATAGTAACAAAACAGTAAAGTAAAAAATTAAAAATTAAAAAGCTAACATTCCAGTACAATGTTTTAAAAAACTATTTTGTTTTGCTCAAGTTTCTTAGAGGCTTTAGAAATTCAGAGGAAGATAACTGTTAAAATTTAACCCAAGCTTCTATTTTCAGTAATCTTGAGAGAAGGAGCTAGAGGTGGCAGTGAGAATTTAAAATTAAATTCAAATATGTTAACTCAGTAACTTCAGAACATGAATACACCCACGTCTGTTCCAACAAAATTTCCACTTTATATTCAGGAAAAATATCTCATTTGCATCAGACATGGTTCTATTATTCTGTACTTAGACTACTCTTTTAAAAATTCAAATTCCATTGCGACAAATATAACATATACATTAAAAAATGCTTGCCATAG